TTCTTTATCAAAATAATACAAGAATTATGTGAATATTAACAAACGTTTATTAAGAAAAGGAAAAAAATACAGTTTTAATTATTCAAACGGGCCTGTTTTGGCAATTTTTTAGGTTTCAAACATGTCAAAACCTCTGAGCAGACTGTTTTTTTCTTTACATTACTTTTATACTTCAAGTAGTTTTAAAACCAGTAATTTATACTTGTACTTGAGTAAAAAAAAATTGAGTTGATTTTTCTACTTTTAAAAAAGTATTTTAAACCCTAGTATCTATACTTTTATTTGAGTCATAAATATGAATAATTTATTATCTAAACCAGTCCTGAAGTCAGTCAGTAACTTAGCACTTTTTAGCCACTTGAAAAAAAATATGACTTCAACCAGCATTAAAGTAGATTTATTTAGTTTTACTGTCATAAAATAATAATAATAATAGTCAATATTTCCTAGTTGATACTCATAAAATATTCCTTCATACCCAGTGATAATTTAGGATAAAATGCGTCTCTACTGATTTTGGCTAAACATCTTTAAAAATTTAGAAGTGGTGGAACAAGTGATGAGAAGGTGAAGCCTCRTTCTGCTGGAAAAAACAAACACTTGAAGCTTCGAGGCTTCAGTCTGAGGAGCAACAGCGACATCTAGTGGCTAACTGAAGCACTGACACTTTCCAACATAGGCAACAAGTTCAGAAAATACTGGTTCTATTCCACTGATATTATCTGTTTAGACTCATTAATCATCATTATAAATTATATATTAAAATAAATGACACTTGTTAGGAGACATTAGACAACAAAGTTCTTTGTTTAAAGGAATTTTTGCATTTGTTTAAAATAACCTAATATGTAGACAGTCACCCATAATCTAATAGGCAGACATGAGACTAGGCAGACTCATGGTACTACAGCAGCTGAAAACAAACACGCCTCTGGGACACGTCTGACAGAATTTAAAACAAATTTAAAAGTTAATATTTTCACATTAATCATAAAGCTTAAACAAAGAGATAAAGTCCCTGTCAAGGCTAGGCTAATAGTCAGCCAAAAGGACATTTTTCAGGCTTATAAAACTACTTTCTCAAAAAACAAAATACCAGTTTGTTGTACTGCAGTAACTTAATGTGTTTACTTTGTCACTGCTTTCTGTGTGCTGAATGTACATCATGTAAACAGTTTCCTGAGGCTGCTGACGCTYTAGGTCCTTAAACATAGCTCTGTTATATTTCAGTGTTTGAGAAAATATTACAATTACTTTTTTTCTCTAGTTTTAACTTTTTTAGGATCAAAATTGTACAAATTCTTCACACAAATCCAGACATGTAAAATACTGTCTAAATTTCAGTGTTTTCCTGGTCAGGACTGACAAAATAACCCAGGGCACAGGCAGGTTTCAAAAATCACAAAAACACAAGGCCTTTAATGAAAACTCAGGAGGCTGATAATACAGCAAAAACTCACTTGACTTGGAGCTAGACAAAGAACATGGGACAGGACACGACCAGGTAGACAGAACAATGATCCGACAATGAGACAGAGACAAGACTGAGCTTAAATACACAGAAAACTAAAGAGGGAACAGAAAACACCTGGGGAGAAACACAAGGGTAATCAGCACTGTGATGTGGGGCAGCTGAGCAGAGACACACAGGGGAACATAGAAACACTAGGAAAAACCAAGGCATAAAATGACAAACCAYGACATTCCATAGTTGTTAAGACAGTGTAGGAACTCTGTTGTTGCTACACTGGAGCCTGAAGGTAATCCAGTCTCATGAGTTCTGAGCCCACTCCACATGGGCCGCCCTCTGACACAGAAGCCTGGCTTGCTTCTCCAACCCTGGTCCCTTTGGTGGGAATTTCCTCCCCCAACATGTACCCTAAAACCCTCTTTCCTCTTGTGTTTTTTGTAAGCTAAGCGTCGTGAAATGGATCAAAAAGAGAAGGTAAAAAAATGTCAATCATGAGACCACCGGTGAACGTTCAAATTTTAATTCAACAAGTAAACTGTTAAGTTTTAGCAGCAGTGGAGTTATACTGCTCGACTGAGTGAGACACATCATCACTGCCAGCCAGTCTTTTACCRGCGATGTGGCCAATCTCCTCACCCCTAAGGACAAAGTCAACATTAGAATTAGAAAACAGGCATTCATTATGCTTGGATTGTGGGTGCAACTTCTAATCAAATAATTAAAAACACATTTTGCAAGGTAAAAATACACCAAGGGACTGAAGCATCAACCCTTACATTTCACCAGTCCAAACTCCAGGAACATTTGATACAGCATGAGTAGAAAGATAAATGCATGACAGGGATGCAAAGGACTACAAAGACAAAAACTGTTGCACAGAGTGTTGTATGTTGTTGTCCATTAAAATGGATGATGGCATAGCTCACAGACTTGTTTGCAAGTTGTGTTGTTTGGAGGCAATATATGCTTTTACTTCATACTTGTTGTTTCTCCTTCATTTTGTTTTGGTCGCTAGTTTAATGATGAGGTGTTGCACCCATAATCCCATAAGTCGATGGAAATAAGACAGTTGAGAAGCAAGAAAACTGACCTCCAATCTCTGACCTTTTGCTAAGCTGCCACACCAACCTGGCCATTGTGTTCTGGAAAAAAGACACCAGGGTCAGAAAATAAAACTGTGCAGTCTTCTGCAGGTGTTGTGAGGTGAACTCAGAACCATTTTGAGATGTTCCACTGTAAGAGGCAGCTTTTTCAGCACACGCAGGATTCCTCGAAGCAGAGTCGTGTCGTTCGTAGAYGTCGAGTACACCAGCCAGGAATTGAGGAGCGAATAGCCGCCAGCAGTGATGAATCTGGATAAAGAAGCAAGAAAACATTTTTTAGTGGTCTTTTTCTCTAACAGACACACCGTCCAGCACCAGGCCAGCAAAGAACTTCTCCCTTTTAAGCTAAATTAACTGGTCCAAACACAGTTCTTGATTGGTTGTCTGATCAGAACTACTTAGTTTGTGAAGGTTCAGAACCATGGACAGTGAGTGTTCAGAACCATGGACAGAACCATGGACAGTGAGTGTTTCAGAACCATGGACAGTGAGTGTTTCAGAACCATGGACAGAACCATGGACAGTGAGTGTTTCAGAACCATGGACAGAACCATGGACAGTGAGTGTTGCTTAAAGCTCGATACGCTAAATAACCACCTTCCCATCGGAAAGATTTGACTTTGATCTAACATTTGACAAAATGTGCCTTTTTTAACAAGTTTTTCTAACTTATAAACAAAATACTAGTTTGTAGAGTAACTAATATTCCTTCACTTTGGTGTGACACCATTTATGCATGACAAATGACAAGAAATTACATGTGGAAGTTAGTCWCTGCCTGTTCAGAACGCTGTCAGACTCGGTGTGCACCAAGATGTTAAGGTATACGCATCTGCTGGCTGTCTCATCACAGACCTCCATGAGTCTACAGTAAAATGGAAAAACAAAATAAAACATTGAGATKATCATGTACCCTTAGAGTCTTAACCCAAATATTAAAGTTTATCATCGGATTTTAGTTGCTCACCTGATAAATACTTGAACCCACTCTAGTGACTGTAGATCACCATTTGGCCCCAGAAAGGCTTTGATGAATTCTCTGGGGTCATCTTGTCTTCTCGCCATGTCTGAAAATTAATTAAATGAATAAGTAAGTAAGTAAGTAAGTAAGTCAGTCAGTAAGTCAGTAAGTTAGTAAGTTAGTAAGTCAGTAAGTTAGTAAG